ACAATAAACCAAACAATAAACGCTGACTGAAATGCCCATGCAAGCTGTCATCTCAACGAAGTGCTGCACCAGAGCGCATACTAGTCGTGTTGAAAACCGATAGACCCCAGTTCTCCTCGTCTCCGCCGTTGGTGACAGCTATTGACGGCTCAGGTGGTCGGGGACCATATACACGGACTTGTCGTATGTGAGTATCTCGGCCGTTCTGTGGACACAGCATAGTATCGTAGAGGAGCTGTCAGTGATGCTACCTGATGGTTGTTGAGGATAGCAAGCTGGAGGTAGAAGGTCCTCACGAACGATTGTGCGACGATATCATCCCGGAAAGTAACTCCTCGTTGGAGATGGTAACTAATGGTAGTTACCACTGTCTTCCACACAACAGCGACTCGGATGGTTGATTCAATGTGAATCGTAAGTGAAGTCGCATTCGTGTAACCGGAGAGTCCCGTGAGCGCTCTAACTACGTACTCAGGATTGTCATTCGTCCGTGTAAGAGCTAGCGGTATGACTATCCACCCTTCTGGCTGATACAAAGCCAATCTCTGGATTTCCTACAAGTCGCACGAAAGCCTGTTGTTCGTAGCCTGGCAACGATATCTTCCCCACGTTGAGATCAAAAAGGGTATTTCCTATCCGAACGGAAATGGTTGAGGGAGTGTACGACTCATCGGCCTTGTAAGAGACGAACATATGAACCTCCTGAGCATCATCAGCATCATCACTGACATCAGGAAGAAGTATTGAGCCTACCGTGACTTTCTCCAGACCTCTGGTGAACTCCAAATCAATGCTATGGTTGACAACACCCGGCTGCTGAGCTCTTTGCTCGTCCATGGAATAGGTAATCGCTGACATCGCATCACTCTGCCAGAACGTCTCTTCGGAATTGTCCTTCAATTGCACTACACCATACCCAGGCTTGGCAGATGAGAGCGACCATCGACAACGGTCGCCTATCTAGGAAAAAACAAACATCAACTACAACCCATCGAGCTTTCGAAAACTTCCAGAATAGCTAAACAGTGGTATGGGGTGTCGTTACCTCATGCAGGCCCCGTGCCGCTGCAGCCGTCGCCGGACTGCTGAGGAATCGGCTCCTGATGGCTTGAGCTGCCCTGCGGGAAGGGGACGCCGAGTGTGACGCTGGAGAGGAGCCTAGCTCCGAGAACGAGGTGAGGATCTCACCCGGCGAACGACGGGCCATTACAAACTACAACATTGATGAATCACCTCTAGGGAAATGGTCCCTCGGCATCGCGATTCACCTGGAATGATACAAGCTCCGTATTTTAGTCGCTATGACTCGGAGTTACTATAAGGGGCCGACTTTCAAAGGGCCATGCCCCCATAGCTTCTCATAGCTAATGAGGCCTCTCATATACCAGTAGAAAGCCCTTCTTGAACATCTCTCTGTCTGTCTCACTCACACTACAACAAAGTACACCCTCGGACAGCCAATCGTTGACAATACACAACACTTAGTTGTACAGAGAACAACATAAAGATTATGCTCGAGCCAAGGGTACATGATGACTACGTGGAGCTCTTGGTCAACTCCGACTTCCACTTTGCAATAGCATTTGGCAACTCCCGAACGAGGGCTTGGGATTGGTCTGGAGTCATCCCTAGTAGCTTCGCCTTCGACACCAACTTGTGCATCAATAGAGCCTGATGATGAACAAACGTTCCCCATAGAGGCCTCAAGCACGACCGTCGAGTATCCACCTCAGCCCGGTCCAGCAACACAGGCGTGTCCAAGGGGTCAAGTAACGTCTGCATAGCCTCACTAAGAGCCTTGACTGCGATCGATGCCTGATAAACATGATCCCAGTGTATACTGATCACGCGCCGGCTCTCCACACCAGCGCGGCCATCGAGCAACTACAGGATGATGCAAAAACGGGCCCACATAATGGATTTTCGTGGCGTGTGCAAATCATGAGAGATTGCGTACCATTTTTAAGCTCTCATTGAGCTATCCCAAACGATGTATGAATCATCGTGATACTCATCCACAATAGGGCCCAAGCTGCCCCGGAAAATTGACGGCAGGCGTTACGAGCACCCCATATGATTCTGCCAGCTGGTTTCTCTATGTAGTATCTCTCCCGAAGGAAAATTCTTATAGTACAAACCTAATATCACGATGATTCATACAGCTTCTGAAAGAGCTAATCGAGAATCTCAAAACGGTGCCCTGTATTTCTTATAATTCTCTTATGCCGTTGAAATCCAATACGTAGGCTCGGTTTTTCGCATCACCCTGTACATAGGTTTCACGATAATAAATAGGATGACGATTCCATCCCAACCGCCGCCGCCTCTCAAGCGTACTCTCAATGTCCAGGAACAGCCGTGCACTACTCACCCTCTTGTGTTGGAAATCGAGCCAATCGTCATCATCGACCGTCTGGCAGTCATTCCTCACGATTCTTCTGTCCACAGACGACTCCGGTAAGAACAGCCCTGATAGCACGAGAACTACCGAGGCGAACACGACGGCTTTGAATTACCTTTCGGCTTGGGCCGACGAAGATGACCGGCCAGCTCGGTAGAGTAGAGAGTCTCACCTATGAACTGAGTGACTTACGCAGACAGTAGCGGTTCTCATACGCCACGAGAGTAACGGGAAGGCTAAGACTACAATGACCCCATGGGGACTCACAGTCCTCCAGCCTCTTCTCGATAGATGAGATTCCCTTCCCGGGCTCATCGGCCTGGATAGCAATCCCCGTAAGCGAAAAGTCAGCAGCAAACTCATGCTCACCACTGCTGACTTGTAAGTTTGCTTTTCCTGAGTGGCGCCGAAGTCCTCCTCTGAGTGCCATTCAAGGACGGCGGCTTTCGAGTGACCATCCACGCCCACATCAACCGGCCTTGCTCGCCGTGTCTGCTCCACAGACCGCACCACTGTATGTGGACTATCTTCCGAGGCTTCAAATGTCGCCACACCAAGTTCAGGGATGATATCACTCTCGACATTGCCTCGAGTAACAAGCGGCGAGGCAATGTCGCGCGCCACGAAATTGCGATCATGGTCCTTTCGGTCTTTAGCAGCCGACCGCCTCCGTCGACGAGACCTGCCGTAGATCTGATCAGCAGTTCCGACTCGGGCGGCTATAGGAGTAGTTGTGAGCATATCTGAATACTATAAATGGGCAACAACCAAAACATGCCCAACCTATGAGCTTAGACGAAGCTGTGGACATCCTCATCAGCGACTTGCTAACATCGCTCGAATCTTTTCTTCGAGACTCCCGACCCACATCTGCTTGACAGTTGTAGTCGAACCTGATGACCAAACCAACAGATGGCAATGGAGCTAGACTAGCCGTACGGCACAGGCATCGAATAAGGCAATCGAGCCTCGCCCGACTTCAAAACGGCCAGCACCGGACCTCCCGGTGTCGCAGGAACATCATACGTCCCAGGCCCCGGCACTTCCCTCGCTAGAACTGATAAGGCGCATCTATACCAAGATTGAATCCTCACAGTAAATGCCTCACAAAGCCGCCGAGACTCGACAGAAGTATTCCTTCCCAATTCGGGGACGGGTTTAGCTTGACTCTGTCGCTGAGGAAGACGGCCAGGGTTGTACGTCCCGGGTCCCGGCAGAAACCTGAGGTGGACACCACTTCCAGATGACCACCATTATCACAGTCGCAAGCAGTCAACGCGGCTTCGGTCACCGACCTCTTAGCTGCTGCTACCTCCTCTACTACGCTGGTGCCTCTCCCCCGTAAAGATCTTCCCGGTCCTCGCTTCTGGGTGGGATACCGCCCTCTCTCATTCAGCTTGGAATGGGCAGTCGCTGAAGATAATTCTCCTCGTGACGCCCGAATTCAGTCCGACAACCTTACCAACATCGTATTCATTTGGCGCAGGCAACTGCGCGGCCACTCTCACAGGGCCATCGATGAACTCAGGCACGCGACTGCTACTGAATAACCCTCCCT